CTCTCTCTCTCTCTCTCTCTCTCTCTCCCTCTCCCGCACTTGAAGGTTTTTGGCTTTGGAATTCTTCAAAAGACCATTGTTGCCATCCGTAGCCCCCTCACTATTTTCTTATTGCTTTCCATGTCTCTGTGTGGCACATGTTCATACTGTACATTCCACTCACTAACATAACAGGTGGAATTGAGAATCTGTATTTTACGAAGGCTGGTTCAACCTAACAACTAGTGTTAGTCATTACATGGTTTTAGATAATTGACCGTTGTTGATTGAGGTGAATCTTACAATAACGAGTCTTACGACATATAATAATTCACTGTTCTCGCGACAAATACATATAAATTTTCATGCTCATATTGTGCCACTCATATATAACAAGTGGATATGAGAATTTGAAACGTAATTAAGAGGGTAATATATGCAGCCCACCAACTAATTAACTATTGATTTTGTGTTACTACTCTTTCAATGGTTGGATATCTCAAATTGGAATTATTTTTCCCTATCGATAAAAAGAGAGACACGATTAATTAATAATTGATAGTCGTTGATTCACGCGCCTAATAATTCAATACAAACTCTTAATTCATAGTCATTCGTGCGTACTAGTGTTAGTCATTACATGGTTTTAGATAATTGACCGTTGTTGATTGAGGTGAATCTTACAATAACGAGTCTTACGACATATAATAATTCACTGTTCTCGCGACAAATACATATAAATTTTCATGCTCATATTGTGCCACTCATATATAACAAGTGGATATGAGAATTTGAAACGTAATTAAGAGGGTAATATATGCAGCCCACCAAGTAATTAACTATTGATTTTGTGTTACTACCCTTTCAATGGTTGGATATCTCAAATTGGAATTATGTTTTCCCTATCGATTAATTAATAATTGATAGTCGTTGATTCACGCGCCTAATAATTCAATACAAACTCTTAATTCATAGTTATTCGTGCGTGTTTTGGAGAGTTATGTTTAACGAATTTTCTTCCTGACTTATGTAGCTCTCCACATCAAAATGGAAGAAAGGTACTAATTAAGTACTACTGGTCTAGCTAACACTTGTAATTTTATATCAATTGTAAACAAGCAGCTATCTAGCTAAGGACCCAATTCATATTTATGATCAAGTTGGTCATGATGGTATGCTTAAACTTGTTTTTAAAAACAAGATACCAACTGACTTCTCTGGTCCGGACCAGTTCAAAAATATTGGGTCGTTTAAAGAAAAGGGTCCTAAGATTTTAGTGGTCCAAATCCAAGTTATAAAATCCCATAATTTAAATTTAAATTTGCAAAATCATTATTGACTGACTTTGAGACAAACACTTGCCCCACGTTCTTGCATGACAAGCCCTCCTCCTCCCACTCCTCTCCACAAGAGAACAAAACTAAACTGGGATTCTCTGTGCAGAACTATACAGGGTTTTTGTCTTCCCACAGGAATCCCTAGGCCTTAGCATCCTGCCATGTGAAGCAGGCACACATAGTTAATTAAATATAATTAATACCCTAATTATAATATTAATTAACCATGCAGTCCCTGACTCATAGGGCTCTTTAAAATTCCAACCTTCCAACCCTCGGTGGACACTTACGAATGTGGCTCTAAATAAATTATGAAAAAAATGAGGTGTCTTGAGAGTCCGGATTATTATGATAAGGCTGTTGATTTGCACGCATGACACACCATGACACTTTTTTTTTGCTTATGCATTTTATTTTCAGACCTCTCAACGTCACAAGGTTTAGCTACCGGCAACCCTACCGGTTAGCTTCCGACATGACTGACCTCTCTGATAGTATAATATATTGGTTGGTAATATATAGTGGTGCCCATCCATTATCCTCTACATGGACGGCTGTGATTTACTTGCCACCAGCTGTCTTTTGTCCTTGCCCGATGGCTATATCACATTCCAAATCCCTTGGTCCCACATGAGAAAAGGTCAAAGTGGGGGTCCACATTAAAATAACATAACACAACATCTTTCATCTTTCTCCTCCCTTGGGCCAATTTTTAGGTTCGCTGTGATTTACTTGCCACCAGCTGTCTTTTGTCCTTGCCCGATGGCTATATCACATTCCAAATCCCTTGGTCCCACATGAGCAAAGGTCAAAGTGGGGGTCCACATTAAAATAACATAACACAACATCTTTCATCTTTCTCCTCCCTTGGGCCAATTTTTAGGTTAGTGAGAGCTTGTTTGGGAGTCCTTATGAAAAGACAAAGAATGTTTTCTAATATTCAAAAGCGTTTTTGAAGCTTATAAGTGTTTCTATCTTTAATAAGATGTTTCTTCATGAAGTATTTGGATTTTCAATACAATTTTTTACTAATAGAAGAGCTTTTAAAAGAACGTTTATGAACACCACAAAACATCATTGTCGTCATGATTTAGTTGCTGTTTTTGGCCCACATATATAGGATTTTGGCTCCAGTTCAGTGTTTGGAGTTACAATAATGAAAGTTACCAGTTTGTGTGGGTTGAGGTTTAGCCGTTATGGCATTATGGATTTCTTCGGTTGCCGAAGAGGATGTGGAGCGGTGTTCTTGTTTCTTATTTTAAGTCTATTACTCATTAGAAATTGTACTTTTTATTTTAATTCTCAAGAACTCTTTAGGAGTTTGATGTGTTTCGTATTCTAGTTTTCGACTGCAATACAAATCTGTCGTTTCTGTCGTTGCGCAGTGGAGATGCATTGTTAATATGAGTACAAGTCCTTTAAGATGCTGAATCAAGGGGTTGAGTATTTGTTGGTTTAAGCATAATTCTCTCCAAATCAAATTAACATGTTGTGTTTGGTCTTGGAGATGTTGTACCCATTTTAGCTCTTTTATGGCTTTGTACTATAATATATATGTTTCGTCAATAATTACTATAATTTTTTTCTCAAAAAAGAATGTTTATAAACAAAAGTGTTTCATACATAAACAAGTGACCCTTAATAGTGCTTTTTAATGTGTTCCAGTCTTCATAAGAGTACTACAATAAATTATGGACATTCCAGGCAGCCAATAACAGGATGACAAGTTAATTTCCCACTTGCAAGTTTTTTTTAAGTCTTTGCTTAGCAATCAGAAGGGTTTCTAGGAAATTTGCAAGGCCTATCATGGGAGGTGGGGTTTTGGCTCCTCACCACCAACCACAGTGCATGTCTATTGCCTAGGCTTAGCTATATATCATTAAATTTAAATTTTAAAATAAAAGGAAAAAAAAAAATTGGTTTAGTCTTATTCTAGACTTTGGCTAGTTGGCTAGCTAGATAAATAATTTTTTTTTTGTTTTGCTCATTTTGTAATTGGGTTGGCCCATGATGTGGCAGTGCACCTTAATGTATGAAACAAGGGAGCTTCTTCCCTCCTGGTAATCCAAACCTTCTCTTTTTTGGGGGGAACCATGAAAACATGAGAATAATATTGTAATCTAACATAATCCCATACGTGGGGAACTCAACAATTGTCTATCTTTTCATATATATATAACGTGATTAATAATTTAATTAAGGGGTTTAGGGGATAATTAAGCCCTTGATTGATGTGCCACGTGGCCCTTCCCCCATGTGATTATAAATTATAATGACTTTACTTCCGGTGAGAAGAAGTTAAAAAAAGCTTTTGGTCTTTTATTCTGGGGATCGTTTTAGAGATCATATCCTATCTATCTCTGCCCCTTTTAAAGTGAAGTTCAAGTTGAGGAAACCCGCAGTCCTTGCTTCACTACAACAAGCCTTGCATATCTTTTTTTGTGCTTCTTTTCTTGTTGTTTATATCTCTATTCCTTTTGTCATATAGGAAACACAGTTCAAGGTTTTGCTAATCATTAAGTACTTGGGCAAATAAAGAAAATTGGTAGTTTTTGAAAGCTCGGCAGACAGCATAGATAGAAGCCATTTTAAAGATGCGCACCACTCTTCTTGTTTGTTTAGTGGATTAATAATTTGTTGTTGATTAATAAAACCTTGTCACGATAGATTAATTCTAAAATTTATGCATACATAGTCAACGGGGTTTAGCCTAGTGGAAAAAGACATCGACTTACAGTGTAATGGTCAAGAGACGTGTCACTATCCATCCACATTATAAATTTATAATATCAATTACACCAATAGAAGGAAGTGAAGAAATTAAAAGGAAAGAGTTGGACCATTCGGTAAGTTTAAATTATTTTTGTTTTAGGGAGAGAGAAGAGAGATAAAATGACCTGTTTTAACTTTATTTAGTGGATTATGAAATTCAATATACAGCTATAAATGTTACATAAAATATTAATTTCTAAATTCTTTAGAGATTTTATTTTAATTAAATAAGCATGTAATTTTTAAGAATTCTATTGATAAATCACATGAAGGGTGAGAGATGATTTTTTTGATTTATTTACCATGATGCCATCTATCCCTCTATTCTAAACAGATTTGTAAATGAATGCCAAGAACCAAAAACAAATAAATAAATCTGAACTCTGGATCAAGCCTATCACAGTCAAAAGACAGAAGACTGCTGCCAGCCAGAGGTTCTCAATCTATGAAAATGCTCCTGGTTGCATATGCAGTTTACAATAAAAATTATGAAAAAATTTACATGGCCTGGGTGGGAAAGAATAATTAAGTGTCACTTAACTCACTTCTAAACCATATGCTTTGTCACTAACCCTTTACACGAACATAAATCATCGCAACAAAGCCTTGCTATAAGCTTAGAAGTTGACAATAATTTGGACATAATCGACTATATGAGCTATCAGCCTACTCTATAAAAGCAACGAAAGCAGTGTGGCCATGACCTCAATCTACAACAAGTTACAAATAAATCATTTGTCAGAGCCTAATTGTGAAGCTTGACATCTTTTCCTCTAATCTAGGTGATTATGTGGTAAATGGACATCCCTGCTAATAATGCACAAGACGATTATACTTACGAAAGCACTTAAACTGAGACTTTCAGCTACCATTTTCCTATCTTGCCTTTGCAGTTTTGTAAACTTCTCTATCAATTTCCTTCCAGCTGTGGGAAATAACTAGTAATGTGCACTTTTCTTGTTATCTTCGTGGAGGTTTGAGTTGATGTTGTGGGGGTCTAGCAGATTGCCGTGACGGCTGAGAGCCTTCTGAGGCACCCAACTGGTTGGGCAAATGGTGAGGAGAGTTTCCTTGAACTGGTGGGTCTGGAGGATCAGGTGTGTCTGGAAAACAGCAAACCAAGGGGAGGTTTGAAACTGCAAATACAATCTAGAACTAAAAAGATAATATTGAGAAACTCTGATTGAACCAAGCACTTACCAAACAATGACTTAATAGATGGTCGCTTTGGCTTGTTGTTCTTTTTCTTCAATTCAGCTGCATTAGAGTGTGCATTTAAAGGTCAATGAAGCTCTAAGATTATACTAGCCAAATGCCACGCCCTCAGCACAGATAAAATTGCTAACAATTGAAATATAGTGGTTTATGTCTATTTATACACATTAATTCTTATCAATAGCTAGTTTCTTTTTTTAACAATTTACCGGGTAATACTTACCAATACCAGGCATGTGATGCTCATCAACAATTTCAAAATTCTTGTAGGTATAACCGACAAAATTCGTATCCATGGAAGAAAGCATCTGGAATGAATGAAAGTACATGATTGATCAGTCAACAGAGACAGCAAAACAGACTAGCACTAGCACAGAAATAAGAAAGGAGGATGTGTTGGATGTGTTTGTCATTTGCGCCATGTCCAATTTTGAAAAGGAAAACTCAACCCAGGAAAAAAGTAACGTCTGAGAGGCCGGAAACAGAAGCAAGCCTATGCTAAACCATACTACTTCAAGAACCTAACCCTTTAAAAATTTATAGGATAAAATTTTATTTTCCAAATATCTATGATATAATATAATCACTTGTATTTTCTGATAAGATATAACGATTTGCATAAACCTAATGAATTATGTGAAAATCAAGTGCAATCCCACGCAATGTGTGTGTATATCTGTAGTAATTGATTGAAAATTCTGATCATGAACATATAAATAAGTTACATATCTAGCATAAGTATTGAGGTGAAAAGGAAGCGGAATTGAAAAATTACATCTTATTTTATGAATAAAGATCCCAAAACTGCATTTAACCATAAATCTGTGTTTATACCACCCTAATGAGTGTCACTAATGCGCTGAGGTATTTTGAATATACAGATGCAAAATCAAGTGAACTTTGATACTTGCCTTTCTCCATGGACCAGATTTTGATGAAGTCTCTGCTGGAGTCCCCAACTGCAACCATGAAAAGAACAGCATTTAAGATAATGGCAAGCTGGTAAATAGTATTGCATGAACACAACAACCATATTGAAAAATTCCTCACCTCATCAAACTTCTCAAAGTTTTGAGTATCTAATTCATTGTTAACCTCTGGTAGAAAAGCAGCTTCCATCTGATATAATCTATCCCATGGTAACCCTTTAAACCACGGGTGTGCCTAACATAAGGAAAAACATTTCAACTTTTTTTCCTTCAAAAAATAAAACACCCATCAACCAATAATGAGAAAGAATTCCATGTATGCTAACTTTTATTTCATGAGCTCCTTGCGTCCCAAGCCTCTTCTCAACATTGCAGAGGAGCTTGCAAATGAGATCCTTAGCCTCAGGAGAGAGCTTTGCTTCCTCTGGGAATTTCAGATGAGTTCTCCAGTTAACAATCTGCATGGCATAACTAACCATTTGTTTGATAAGAATATACAAATGAGATGTCAGCAGGAGATTCCCAATAAATATGGCTTAAGAAATAATTATAGTTCCAGAATTCAAATAGTCACAAATTATTAAGGACATAGCGAGACTCCATTTCTTAAATATGGACTGTTAAACCTATTCAGAAATCTGAATGTTGCATATTACAAATGGTCAAACAAAAAATCAAAATTCAATTTACCTTTCTGCATGTTGACATTGGTTCTTCGGAATAAAAAGGTGGAAATCCCACAAGCATCTCATACATGATTGCACCAAGAGACCACCTGACAGAGATATCTGATTACTAACCAGTCGGAAACATGTCTTAAGGTGAAACATGTGCGGGAAAAGTAACTAACCAGTCACATTCCATTCCATATCCTTTCTTCAGCAATACTTCCGGAGCAATGTAGTCTGGAGTTCCAACTGTTGAGTAAGCCTAAATGGCATATGAAAGGGCCATTTATATGTAAATAACTGAACATTTATTACAAAACACCAAAACAAAAGCATATCCTAATTAATGAACAAAAGAAATTGAAAACACGTTCATGTCAGAAATTTAAATTGTAAGAAACACAGGAAAGCAAGACAATAATATAATTTCCCTAAAGATAAGATTATTCCGGTTCTGCATCCGGTTTTAAGTAATATCTGTGAGTGCACATTCCATTCTGTCACTACAAAGAACCAGTTCAAGTAATTCCTGGATAATATATTTATTCTTCCTTGCTTCCTCAAGATTTAGAAGAAATATCAGAATCATAATCTAGCGCATGACCATAGAAACATTCCAAACAAAGTTCTAATTCATGCCCCAGAAAAAAAAAAAAAAAAAAACCTTTTCCAAGACAGCAAGCATGCAATGGGAGTCTAATATTACCTTTTTGTATTTTTTATGAGAAACAAAGAATTTATGAAATCAAAGTCGACAAATTACAATCTAATGTCAGGTCACAGACAAGAGATCCAACTATCTGGACAGCAATACAAAACACTATGCCTACAACTTGAAGAGTACGGCAACTAGACTCTATGACCCAAAAAGCAATCCCTCTAAAATCAACTATGTTATTTCTTATGAGCCTTCAGAAGATAGGTACACAGCTGTGCAAAGGGAACCACAGGCAAGGGAAGTACCGGCCACATAGGAAGCTTTACGAGCTTGCCAAACAAAAAAGCCACAATTGCTCTTTCATTTTATTAATTCATTTCAATTCATGTATTACTTTCCTTGCTAAATGTATGTCCCCAGTCCCATCACAGCAACTCTAATTTTAATGTCTAGAAAAGAAATCTCATCCCTATTAGCCAACCGATGCCACTCACAACATATGAATAAATACAGAAAAGACAGAACATACCAACATTCGCCTGTTCTTTTGCCAGTGCAATAACTGTTCCTGCTGGGTTCGTTTTGGTGTTGTAGGAAGATTAGAATGTTTATGACTCTCAGAGGGGGATTTTGAATTTCTTCCACCTGCATTTTCATTCTCACTAAGATCTGGAAAGCTATTACTGCCCAAAGGCTTACACAACCCAAAATCTGAAAGCTTCATGTGGCCATAACGGTCGAGCAGTAAATTATCAGGCTTAATATCCCTACAAAAGATATTGAAATTCACACTCACATGACATTTGAAGTGTTCATCGCATAAGCAACTAAAATAAGCACATTTATGTAATAAATAAAGCCAACACACGCAAACCTCAAGGATAACTGTCAGATCATAAGACTGTGCAAAAGGTTACATGTAAATAACTTAAGGTTCATATCAATTATATCATAATTAAAAATATCTGACAGAATGATTGTCAGTAACATTTATCATTTTACCTTTGTTACCAGTATTGAAACAAACAAAGAACATGTAGGACTAAGTTTTATTTATTTTAACCTTCTGAAAATGTTAACTAAGAACATCATTGGCAAAACTAAAACCATACAAAAATATTTTAAAGTTCAAGGGCACACATTTTGAAAGTAGGATATTATGTTTAGATATCAGTAGGTAAACCACCTACAAGATTCTGCATCTGCCTACCCTAACTATATTCCAAGTCTAATCAGTGGCTGATTGAGAGCCAACTCAGTAAAAGCAAAAATAAATGACATAACAACCTGTGGATGTAGTTGTGCTTGTGAATAGACTCAATGGCAAGGACTGTCTCTCCAACATAAAACTTGGCTTCATCTTCAGTCAAGATATCTTTGCGCATTAGTAATGTCATCATATCACCTCCAGGAAGATATTCCATTATAAGATACAAAAACTCATCATCTTGAAAGGAGCAGTAAAGCTTAACGATGTAAGCACTATCGACCTCAGCAAGAAGATTTCTTTCAGCTTTAACATGTTCCACCTTCCATGAAAGAAAAGAAGTATGAATGAAGATGACTTTATGAATCGCACAAGTAGAGAAACAAAAATATTTATTAAAAGTTCCTTTCTTTTTGGGCGGACAAGTTCATTTCACACAACTACGGTGAAATTCATAGTTCTTCAGCAATATTTAGCCAGAATTATGGATTTAATTTAAAGCATATGAAATAGCAATGGTACCACTGGTAAAGAAGTACCTGGCCTCTTCGGAGCATCTCCGATTTCTTGAGCTTTTTCATGGCATACACATGCCCAGTAGATTTCTCTCTGCAAATTCTCACCTGCATTTTTTCGCAGCAAATACAATATAAAGCCAATGCATTTGATATAAACAAACAAGTCCACTGACAACAACATACAACGAGCAAGCAAGAAGAGAACCTCTCCAAATGCACCCCTTCCTATAATTGTCAAAAGCTGAAAGTCATCAACCCCCATTTTATGTCTCTGAAGGTGCATATACTCCGTCTCCTTCTGCTCCAAATACTTCAGAACATTCATCTGATCCTCCTGCGAAACATCGGCATCGGCGAGCCGCCTTTCCAGCATCCAACGCCTGTAATTCCACAGAAAAAGACCAAATTGAAAACAAAATTCCACAGCATTCGCTTCAATTCAACAACGCCATACAATTTTGACCCGAGTTATAGTTAGTCACCTCTCTTTCCTGTCCTGCAAGCACTTCATTTGAGCCTTGTAATGGTTCTCAATGTACTGTTTGGCTGCCTCAACCTTCTGTTTGGTCACGTCAGAAGGCGCCTCATCGACAGAAGCAGACTTCTCCTGCTCGTCTCTTGCACTCTCCGCTCCCTTCTTCTTCGCTCTGGGCTGGAACTTCTGAAGCCAACTCCGTGCAGAATCCATAGCTGAAATTCAAAGGCCTCTCTGCGATTCAATCCACAGTTATCCAACTAAACTCAATCCCCAACCGTTGAAAATATATTGATTAAATTACAAGCATAAAAAGAAAGAAAAAAAAAATTCTGAACGATCAGAAAAAAGATAATATTTTTGGTTTGTGAATTTGAAATTATAATACTAACTGATTGCAGAGATCGCATCGGGAGTTCACGTGAGAACTTTTCGTAACTGAATGATTCAACCGAGAGCAGGCAAAGGAATTTCTCTTCTGCTTCCTTCTCTACTCAGACAACTCAGAAGAAGACTCAAGAGGAAAAAGAAGAATAATTTAATTCCATTTTAATTAATTAATTAAGATAGGGTATTGAAATTACTAACCTACCCTCTCGTTAATCGTTGTGGAGAAAAAGACAGCGGCCCAGAGAGGGAAGGGTATTATGGGGAAATAGGGGAGTTTGCGATGTTTATTATGAGTCGTGAGAGTCACGATGACGTCGACAAGGACCTTGCCGTCGCGTTAAGGTGGTCCTTCCACCCGGTAACGGAGGGCAGAAATGACCGGCAGTTGGGGTCTGGGAACCGACACGTGGCGGCGATCGTGATGGCACGAATGTGGACCGGTTTGCCATGGCCGATGTGCATAAAGGCGCGCGAAATTGGGTTTAACGCGTTTTTTGAGGGCAGCTGAATCGCGACCGTCCACGTGGGATTCTGTGTAACCTGGGTTGATCTTGTCTTTTTGAAAACGCGTGGGAAACTAAACCATGGTTTGAGACTGCTTTCTTTTCAATGAGTAGGTGAATTTTGGTGAGAAAAATACCACCGAAAAAAGAAAAACTTTTGTTGACAAAAGACAAAAAATTTAAATGACATTAAAAAGCTGCTGCACCAGCCGGGAATCGAACCCGGGTCTGTACCGTGGCAGGGTACTATTCTACCACTAGACCACTGGTGCCTTGTTGTTAGATTTGGTCTCAAATACTTTGATAACCGGCTATATTGACATGGCTTAGTTATTGGTTTCTTCTAAACACACTAATTACAATGCGTCGACTCATATTATAATACCATGTAGTTATGTTCTAGTATTATACAATAATTGAAGTTATTAGCTTAGTTCGAGCATATAGCGATAGTTCATACGTACAAATTAAGGCTTCATTTGGATGGAAGGATGTCAAATTTACGATTTTATATGATATTGTAAGGTAAAATTGTATGTATAGACTATTACAATTCATTCATGCATGGAAGAGAATAAATGAATTTTCAAATGATTCCTTACATGTAGACGTAGTCATTTCACATGTACTATGCTGTTTTTAAAGCATATTTAACAATATTGTTATCAACTCCAAATTATTTATTGGAAATCCCTCAATCCAAATAGAGCCTAAAATACGTACTTTTTTAATTATGGGTTTTTGGCATACAAGTCTGCTTCCATCTTGCGAAGCTTACATGGATAATTCTCGTATTCAAAAAACGGTAGACAAGAATGGGGTTGCACACATACTTGCTTAAAAAGATTTTGGATATAATTTGCTTAGTCGTACTGTGGGTTCAGTGTTTAATCACATTGGCTGGAGGCACGATAAGGAATAGTTCCATGAATTAAAAGTTCTTTTTCGTATCAAAAATTCCAAAGTGCTTGCTTGCTGGCCCAAACAACAAATGGAGAAGTGATGTTTACCCAAAAGATCTACAAGTCATCACTTCCTTAAAACCTCTCCTTTTTTTCGGGTTTGATCCTTAAAACCAGTTTTGTGGAGGATTTCAATGGATATGTCGTGCATGAAATGCCTTCAAAATTTATACCCACTTCCCCCTTTTAACTCTACTGGGATTTGCCTCAGCTTATTAAAACAGGCACAGCTGGTGTTTGTAAATCTTTGATCATTTGATTAGACATTTTACAGCACAAGGATATTTGATTGCATGCCTAGGGTCAAGAGCATGATTAGTCGTCGAGAGACCTATGGCTGGTAGGAAAGCTAATGACTTTCTAAACCCACCACCTTTTGTTGCTTAAAGTTACGACAGAACCCAACCCAACCCATATTTCCATGGACCTAATCCCCTTATCTTACCAGAATCATTTATTTGTACCTTTAATTAGGTCCTAATCAGAATCATTAGTTTTGCCTAAGCCACGTGCTTTTATAATAGGGTGGTGCCAATAGACATGGCAACGTACAAACGGGGCTGCAGTTTTCGTGAGCTGTATGTATGCTTTTTCTTTATCGGCAAAAGCATGCATCTTTTTAGCACTCAGAGAAAGAAAGAGTACCACACTGACAAGCTAAAGACGATGTACCTAACTACGCCAAAAACTAAATTTTCAAGTGAACTAATAGGCTCTGATTGACTCGATTACAGTGTTAGTTAAGTCCCAATAACTTGTGTTCCAGGCAAGCATGATGCAACATTCATAATCATCCCCTTCTTCACAAGTTAACAGGAATATATATGTACAGTAGTTGTGTTACGTTGTCACGTGGCTTCCAGTTTTCCGAAATCATAAATTAACGCTTAGGAATGAAGTGATTACGAACGTATTATTGGCACTCTAAAAAACCATCATATTCTCTTATGTTACAGAATATAGAAAAACATGTGCGTATGATAATCTTTTTGAATGTATAAGATGTATGAAAACCCTATAAATGTTGTGTAATCTCGGGAGGAGAGAAGGGAAAGCATTTTGGAAGGAAAATATGAAATAATATATACAGAAGGAAAATGCTAGGCTTACCACATTTTTCATTTCACATTCATACCACCTCTCTAATAGAAGTGGGTCCCATTGTATTGGTGGGCTCCCATGGAAAATGTTCCCATGAGAAATGTGAGGTGTCAATATGAGATCTTAGTCTTCCTAATTTATAAATTATATGTGGATGTAAAAATATGTCTCAGTATAAGGGACAAGGCTAATAAAACTTATAATTTATCCTAATTAATTAAGTAATTAACCAACTTAATTATGCACATGCGATAATCAAGATATATTAGAGGGATTGAGCCTAACAGTGTCTCTTAGTTATCTTTTCAGCTAATTGCGTGTTTGACTAAGACAAAAAAAGGAATATGATTTTTTTTAAAAAATTAAAGCAAAAGAACATGATATTGTCAGCATAATAGCACACAATTAAGATATTGTAAAAAAATGTAAACCATATCCTCTACCGTTTCAGCTACTAAAGAACAAATGCAATAATTTAAACGATCTAGTTATATATGTATGAGAGATGATAAGAAGAATAAAATATCATAATGAATATATATATATAAGTCCATTTGTATTGAGGGATCTCTTAAATTAGCTTATTTGAGAGATAATCGTGTAGGGCCCATTCCGTATTGTATTTCACTAATCCAAACCCTCTATGTTTTAGATAATCATTCAAAAATCATCTATACAAAAAATCACTTGAATCCGATATCATTTGACCACTCAATTGTGTTATTAAAATTTTAGTACTTTCTTGAAGCACCATGTTCATTGATTTTGTAGGATACAATTGGATGTCGAAACGGTTTTCGATTTGTCTAATTTTTTGTAAGGATAATCTATGAATGTAGACATAAAAAATAGATAGTTCGAATCGTTGGAAAAATATTCGTACGGTATCCTAAAAGGTGTCTCTCAAATATTTATTTGAGGAATCCCTCAATAGAATGGGACCTATCCTATTTTCTTCCATCTAAATAAAATTATTTGTTTTAGTTTGATTTATAGAAATTTAGTGAAATACCCATTCCTAGACATAAAACTATAAATATACCCTATACCATTCAATATATATAAACACACCCAAAAAAAACCCAAAACTGACAGCTATTACCTTTTTTTAATTTAATTAGATAAATGAAATACATTTATTACCCATTTAGTATTAAATTAGTTTATTTGAAAATTTTTGGGCACTCTCTCTCTCTGTTCGCTCTCGTCTCTCTCCGTTAGCTCTCGTCTCTCTCCAGCGATTTTGGTGCTCCGGCCACAGCCAGCCGTGAGACCGGTTAGAAAAGGACCGGCCAGGGCCGACGATCAAGTCTGGGCTAAAGCCCAGCCACATCAGCCACTCACGACGCCGCTGCGAGCTCAGAAAGGTCTGTGGATTTCGAGTTTTTCGACGTCATTTCCGGCGACTTTGGCGGTTGTTTCCGTCGATCGAGGTATGAAACTTCATCTACTTTTCGTGCTCTAGCTGTTTATGTATGTGGTTATGATAAATTTTGGAGTTTTGGAAATTAATCAATACACCCTAGATTTTGGTGTTTATGTATGTGCAATTGTAGATCCAATTCTTCTTGATTTTATATGTTTATTTTTGTTATTGCCGATTTGGAGGTAAGCTGTTGGATTTTCTGATTTCGTTCTAATTTGTATTTAGATATTCGTTTGAGTTTTAAATTGTGATTTTAGTTTCTTTTTGTTTATAATTTGGATTGATTTCATATTCGGTTTGGTTGTGGATTTGCTGTTTGAGCTGTGGTTAGAAATTTGTGATATTCGATTTGGTTTTCATATTAATTGAGGTATGCTTTTTCAGTTGAATCTGAGTATATTAGTGTTTTTTCTGTTTATCATTGTAAAGTTCCAGTATAGGGTAATAACACTGCTTGTTTGCTATGAAATCCTATTTCTAATGCATGTCTACCTCTGTAAAGTTCCAGCATAGGGTAATAACACTGCTTGTTTGCTATGAAATCCTTTTTCTAATGCACGTCTACCACTGTAAAGTTCCAGTATAGGGTATTAACACTGCTTGTTTGCTATGAAATCCTATTTCTAATGCATGTCTACCTCTGTAAAGTTCCAGCATAGGGTAATAACACTGCTTGTTTGCTATGAAATCCTATTTGTAATGCACGTCTACCACTGTTAAGTTCCAGTCTAGGGTAATAACACTGCTTGTTTGCTATGAAATCGTATTTGTAATGCACGTTTACCAGTGTTATTACCACATACTGGAACTATATAGTGGTAGACATGCATTACAAATAGGATTTCAGAGGAAACAAGCAGTATTAATACCCTATACTGGAACTTTACAGTGGTAGACATTATTCAGAAATAGGATTTCAGAGGAAACAATTAGTGTTAATACCCTATATTGGAACTTTACAGCCATTAATCAGAAATTTCAGTGAACTAGCGTCTAAAATAATGATAGTAAGCAGTCAGTGCAATAGTGAAATCCAATATAGTTTCAAGATTTTGTCTTTGATTCGAATCTAAAATGCTGTTATTACCCTAGAATGGATCTTTATATAAATTTATCAACATTACAGTAAGTTCGGTGTTGTAAA